GCCCAGAGGATGGGGCAAAGGAGGTGAGGGGGTGGGGGCAGAAAGTGGAAATGAAAGCAGACAACAGAACATTGCTAGAGAGCAGGGAAGGAGGTGAAAGGAGACAATTTTAGAGAAGAAAATGTTTTTGGTCGCTACCCGGATTCGAACCCAGGACCTTTGAATGAGAGGCCAACACCTTAACCTCTAGGCCACGAGAGCCCCCGCTAAGACATTAGTTTTATCCTTTACTTTCATCTGCTGCCTATACACTTTTTGGTATAATCAAGATATTAACGTTTCTCTTTTGAATGTGTTATAGACATTTCAGTATCGTCAGAATGTAAAACTTTGTTTTTCTCGAAAGTGTGAAAAGTAGATACAGTCACTTCTTGTCTTGGGCTCAGCCGCCGATATTTTCAACGCCATTTATCATAATAATTTATCGCAGCTAATAATATAATGTGCAAATAAAAAGAGTGAATTAAGTATTATGGGGGCTTGCGAGCACCGTAAAACCCTTACTAAACTAACTAACGCATCAGCTATTTCATCTCCACACACCTTGTCAATCCAGAATTTTTAAACGCATCATTGCTCGCTCATAGTAATATGGTCACTTTTAAGCACAAGGGGGCTATCCCGTAAAATGTAGTTTTGAGAAAATCGAAGCTGAAGTTTTTACCCCTTGTTCAGTTTCTTTAAAAGACAAAGAGAGTTTTCTCTATAACCAAACAAATATGCACACCAATGAAACCAAACTTCTCCTATAGATAGGATAATGCCCACATTTGGTGTGTAGGTCAAGATTTCTAGAAACCCCCGAAATCTGGGTTAGCCCGCTTGTCCTTAAAAAGCGACCATATGACCTTAGGTAGTTGCGAGCACCGTAAACCTCATACTAAACTAAATAACGCATCAACTATTTTATCTGCACACACCTTTCCCGAACTTTTTAACGCACCATAGCTCGATCATATGACCTTACGTAGTTGCGAGCGTCGTAAAACTCTTACTAAACTAACTAACGCATCAACTATTTTATCTGCACACACCTTTCCCGAACTTTTAATGCCTTTGATGAGACAGAAGATGACGACAATCCAGGAGAGCAGGAGACAAAGGGTTAACTTCCACAGTGGTTCGCCCATGTTCTCTGGCTCGACTCCTTGGGACTTTTGAGTGACCTCTTTCCTGGTAGATGGATAGATGGATAGATGGATGGATGGATGGATGGATGGATGAATGGATGGATGGATGGATAGATAGATAGATAGATAGATAGATAGATAGATAGATGGA